TCTCATCCAATTATCAAAATTTGCAACAGCAGTGTTTGATTCCAAATGATTTAATAGTCAAGACTGATTAACACATACGCGAGATGACTGAAACACGCAAAATGGCATTTATGCCATATTCAAAAAACTTTCAGTTTACTGATTTGCATTCTACTAAGTTTGAATTTTCTGTCACGTCAGTGTTACTTAGGTTTTTATTTTAGTACGATGAAAAATCTGTCGACAACTGACTAGACGAGAAAGTTATATTTCGCTACAGTGATTTAGCGCAGAGACGGTTCTTAGACTAATTCTGTGACATTGCACACTGTGATATCTGCGTGGTTCTCTATCAAAATTGTGTACACTGACTGGAACAAATAACTCGAGTAAAACGTTTCCAAATGACGCCTTTTGTCAGACATCGACACTGTTTTCATTTTTTTGTAGCGAGCTGTCAATGTTAACGGCATTCTCCAATTAATTATATTTTGCTCAAGCTTAACCTGAAGTATTCAAAAATTTCATTGCATATTTGCCAGACTAGCCTTTAGTTTCAAAGAACATTCAAAAATTGAATCAATGACAAGTCGTTTCCAAGAAAGGTTTTTGTGCGTGCACTTTGGAGAACCGTAATAAGTAATGAAAGTAAAACTGTTCAGCACCAGAAGAAGAAGGTAGAGAGAAGAGTCAAACAGAGAAGCGGAGTAGATCAAATTTACTACTTTTCTGTACAAATCATTTTTACGGTTTCTGGTACAAAAAGAAATGAATCAAGCCTCGAAATTTGCTCTGTTTAGGCTGTTGGGGAATCAGCACAAAACTGTACCTTCTGTGTTGCTCATCAAAATCAGTGTTGTCCTACCAACTGAAGCTTTTCCAGCGGCTTACGCGGTAAAAAAAAAGGTTCTTTGCTTTTTTTAAAGTATTAGGTTGACAAAAAAGATCTCAAAGTTTTTTAATTTTAAAAAACTGTATTTTCCAATAAAAATTGGCAGGTAGCTAATCAGAAATGTGCTCTTTTTTGTTGTTTAAACTTCTTTGTTTCGTTCAGAAAAATTTTCAGCACAATGTTGATAAAAATTATTTTCAATTCAGGTTTTAATTCAAAAAATTTATTGAGAGAACCTCTCAATTCTGACATTGTGATACCCTGACTTTTATTGTCTTTCTTTATTACCATGCAGGTCCGACGTCCTACACTTCTAAACTTTTCCCATCAGGTGAAGACACTTTTTTAATCGGTGTAGGGAATTTGGTACCAATTTTCTTGTTGTCTGAAACAAACTTTCGTGCGTAAGTCAATTTAGTTGCTCTTCATCGATCTTAACTAAAATACCAAATCGAAGTGTCTTTTAAAGTCAAAATCTTCATTTCCAAACTTATTGTATTAATCACAAACAGTTCTACGGCATTCTAAAGTGCAGCAAAAGTATTTTGAGCAGCTTTTGTGCTCTTAGAATTTTTATCAAAAGCAGAGAGGAGAGGTTGAAAATGTTTAGTTTCCTTAAATTGACATACCGTTTTAATATTGAAAATTAAAATAAATCTACGCCAAAAAAAAATTGATTTTGGTAGAACAAAAAACCTTCTTCCAAACTTTTTACGAAAAACTTTTATCGATACGCAAAATGTTAAAGTTTTTAGGAATGACGAGAATTTAGATGCTAACCGAACAATTTTTGGCTTCATAATTGAACTACTAAAGCGACAGCTCAAAAAAATCCTATAACAATTTTTGCTTCCCAGTTTTACGTAGAGCAACAAAACATACAGCTCTTTTTTAATCATTTTGAAGTCAACTTTACCTGCTTCTGGCTATAACTTCGTCGGATATTTTTACTAGCTGTAAGCTTTAACAAATGTTAGTGAGCGTTTAATGAAATAACTTGAGAGAAACTTTGTTTTCCAGACTTATGTGTTGAAAATTTCATAACAGTAGTGAACAAAATGTGAGAAAAAGAGGAATACTGGCATTAAGCTAGTGAATAAATTTATAATCGAGGTAGGCTGCTCACAAAAAATAGCAAATTAATCTTAAGCAAATAAGTAGTGCTCACTTTTGTACTAATATGGTAACAAAATAGAGGGATAAAGCCAAATAACACAAATAACATCAGCTTTTATTACACTCATGTATATGATAATGATAGACTGATAATCCTTTCTTTCAATCACTTCTGTCGCAGCACATACAGTAATGGCACTGCATACGATGGAAGAAAGAAGGCACAGTTTTTGGTTCTAGAAAAAAGCTTTTTTGGGGGAAGACGATAATGAAAAGCTGTAGAAATATGAGATCAAACCACATACACTCACTGTAAAGTTTTATTTGTTGATATTGCAAGAAAAAGATCTCTCGAGATAATTCAATTTTACAGTGTTTGCCAGGCTAAAAGAGTATATTTTATCGTTCAAGTTGTTGCCTTGCAGTGTAAAAGCACAGTTATAGTAGTGAGCGATCTTAGACTCCTACTGCAAAATAATAGCTTCAGCAACGTTTGACCTTATCATTCTGTTGTTGTAAAAATTTTTTTTACAATTCATTTTTAAAACAGGCTGCTATTGATTAGCTAGACATTTTTGTGCTAAAAAGGTTGAAAATCTTTTTATGAAGACGTATAGTCGATAAGCTGTTCCAAAAAAAAAAGCCAGTACTTTACTGAGTTGGCATGAACGTGGTTATTGAATTGAATTGGTTCTTACAGAGCTGCTGATTAACAAGTTTCATGTTTGTCTTCACATTTCAAGTATTTAGAAAGTAATAACTTACAGTAGTTTTTGTTTTTTAATTCTTTTTTGAAGTTTTTTCAGTCAAAATGTAGAAAAAATTTAAAAAACGGCTTTTCTTTATTTTTCTGAGGAAAGGATAGTGTTGCTGCAGTCACGAAGTGTCCACTATTTCAAATTGTTTTACAAGCTCATTGAATCGCAACAGATGACCTGTGCCTAGTACTGCAAAGTTCCTTTACGACAGTTTTAAACTGATTTGATTTGTAATGGATTGTTCGTTGTGATTAGAAAGGAATGCTGTATGATAAATGAAGAAGCGGTGAATATCAATTCGGTGTCACTCGCCTCTGAAACGCTCAGTGAAGTCAAATTTCTACTAGGCTAACGTAGTTAATACGGCCTGATGGAACATTGTGAAGTAATTTAACAAGACTTTTCAAGTCAGCGTCAGATTGTTACTGCGGGGAAGTATCATTTATAAATAATGAGCAGGAATAAGAAGTTGGAAAAGCAGCACTAGGAACTGCTAAAAAAAGGGAATACTTTCTACTACCTTATAACTTCTGTATCATGACATCGGGAGAGGAACTATAAAGCTTAGGTGCAAAGTTTCATTGTGTCTTTTACACTTTTTAAGACATTCTCTTACTAAATTTTACTTTTAAAAATCTTAGAAATAATTATTCAGCTGTGATTTGCACATACAAATTTGTATTTATTGACTTTTAAACTTTTAGATTTTTAACTTTTTAAGTATGTGGAATAAGTTTTGTTCTAGTCAGCTGTGTGCCACTAGAATAAAAAAAGTGACAGATCGTAATAGACGTACCTTAGTGAAACATTACCAGTTTCTAAAATCGAATGACAAAATGACAAGCAGTCTTCCAGCTGCAGTCGTTTATTGCTTTCTGAAGCAGTTTGAAGTACGAATAAAGAGCCATTTCTGATTAAATATCAACAAAAAATAGATTTATTGTTCATATTTTTTTAAAAGAAGAAACTAGTGATTTTGCTCAATAAATATAAAGAAAAAGTAAGTTGTATTTAGTTTAGAGAAAACTTTGCAATGATTAGGAAGTCATTAAAACATATTCTTGGCATACTAAAATTCAGTCTTTTAACTAAAAGTTCGAGTTCAAAACTGGTGCTAGTAGGACTTACAAACAAAGGTTTTAAAGACAAAAAAGTAACCTAGACAGTATAAGAGATTATAAGTCAGAGTCAGCGAAACCGATTTAAAACTAAATTGGTTGTTTTTCACTTTTATTGTTTGACAGTAAAATCTAGCTTAGATCTAGACAATGGCACTTAAAACTTAAAAAAGTTACTTCTTTTAGTACATTTTTTTCTCTGATGGCAAGAAGTTTAAGCAATAATTTTTCAGGTTTGCCTGAAGTTTTTGCCACGGTAGTGGGTTTGAACATTTGTGGGTGCTAGCCTTTCCTCGTTGAGACCGCTCTTCCTCTTGTTAGACATTTGTCAGTTATAAACACATCAGTGACGCTCTACAACTGAAAGCTTTATTTGATTATATTGCTATTTGGATTTTAGATTAATTATGTCGCACACGAATTCTTTCTGCAAAAGAAGCTTTTGTCTGCTAAACTTTTCAAATCATTCCAGGCGTTTTCGGTTTTCTGATTCTGCACATCTGATTTTGAAACCTTTTTAAAGCTATTTTAAGAGATCACAAAAACTGCATTCAATTTTTTAAAAACATTTTTTAGTTACTTATGAAAGTTTCAGCAATAATCTTTACCAAAGCGAAAAAAGTTTTTAAAAAAATTTTTGATTGATAAAAGGGTTTAAAGAAGCACTTTAGTAGTAACCTTACAGGTTACTGTTAATCAAAAATTTTAGAAACATCAGTTTCTGTCTGGCCTCTACTAAGCACACCTGAATAAAGTTGCTAAAAGTGAAGAAAACTAGTATTTACAGAGGTAACAACAAGAAGTTTCACATAAAATTAATAGTTGATTATTATAAAAATTTCAATCGAGCTAGAATAATTAAAACAACATTAAAAACCAAAAGTCGATTAAGTTATTTTTTCAACTTCTTATTTAATAAATTATAATAGTTTTTTAAAACTAAAGCAAAGACAAATCTTTAAACTGTTAAATTACAGGCATTATAGAGGTTGAATAATAATCGGTAATCAGTAGGCTTTATCTTCTGTTGTCTTACAGAATTATTAAAAGAAATATCGGTTTGCACTCTTCAGTTACCTGTGCTGAATGTTTTATCGAGAAAGCTACGCGTCAGCATTGGTTTTCTGATTGGTTTCTATGGAGACACAGAGAAGACGAGCGTTCAATGTAATATTTATTAATGGTTATTATAGCTCTTTTTTTACCGAATCAAAATATCTACTGATTTATCAGTGTTGTTTAGCATTGTTTTTAGTTTAATTTTTGACTGTTTTAAAAAGTTAAAATTTGCTTTTTACTTGCTTAAAAATCAGTCATTGTTTATTCTAACGAAACTTTATGATAGTCTTCTTTATTGAATTAAATATGATTTTTTTCTTAAAAATGCGATTATAGCAATCTAAAATATTTTTTGATATTTAGGCATGGCTCCAAGGAGAGGTTCTTTGGATATTTTAAATCCTTCATACTTCAGAACAAAGGATTTTTTAACCTCAAATCAGACTAATTCCAGCAATAAAATTATTGAAAGGTTCAGTTCGACATACAGTAATAACCAGAAAGTAATTCCTTGTCTGATTTATTTTTGTTGCTATTAAAACTGTCTTTGTCGGTTTTTTTTTTTTGCAACTATCAAAAACTCTTAAGGAGTTACGGAGGCAGCTTCAGTTAATCTCAGCAAAGGCTCGCACTTATAAAGTAGCTGAAACTCAAACAGCATTTGAGTTGGAAATGTTAGAAGATGCGATTGATGAGCAAAACGAACCAAAAGTGATGCGGATTCGTCTCTTAGAAATGCTGGCTCTTAACAGAAGGCTTGTTTCAAAGAACCAGAAGTTGGAAGATGACGCGAAAAGTCTAGAACAGCGCCTGCAAACTGAGTATCAAACCAATGTAATTCTCTTCTCACAAATTCCTAGAAAAAATAAAAGTTTAAAAGTTTTTGTCGTATAATTAGAAAAAAAAAA